GGATGGCCACAGTTTCCCATTTCTGAATTAAGGGGTACATTTTTAAGGAATGCCATGGGGCTAAGAAAATATCTATACACCCACTGTGGTGCATTTTCCTTTAGTGATGTTTTTTATTTCTGTTGAAAACAAAATATGGGTTTCTCCAACACAGATAGGGCAATAGATGCTTAGTTGATTTTGGGGGGCAGGTATGATTTCTTTCTTGTACATCATACCCTAATGTAACTAGAAATATACCCCCATACTCATGAAAACAGGTATTGGGCTCTTGTTCTATGTTGCTATTGACTGTATATAAGCTGTACAAGTTGGGAAGCAGATGACACCTGCATATTATAGATAATCTGAAACACATTCCTATATCTTTCAGGTTGTATATGAAAAACTCAACTGTCTATGGCAGGGGTAGGCAACCTTTCCCCTTTAAGGGCCAAGGGACTTCAACTCCCAGAATCCCAGGAGCTATTGGCCAACATGAGACTATTGGCCAACATGGCTGAGGCTTCTGGGAGCTGAAGTCCCTCGGCCCTTAAAGGGGAAAGGTTGCCTACCCCTGGTCTATGGCCTCTTGATCCTGGACCATATCCAATGCAATTTCCCCCATAACTACCCTTTCTGATGCTAGGCAGGCTAAAACTCAGGTCCTATATAGTTCACATTGGATTTAATATTTCTCTTTAAAATATGAGTCTACTGTGCCAGGTCATGAAATCTATATCATGGGGACTGTCATGGAGGGTTAATCCTCCAAGAGTCCAAGAAAGTAATCTGATACACAGTATCTCATTTAATTTATTGATAAGTATAAATGTATACTTCCACCCTACTGTTTGCTTGAGTAGGCTTCCACAAGGTGGTAAGCAATTTCAAAGGAACAATTAAAAATGGCATAAAACAAAAACAAGCTAAACACACTATGTAAATGTCTGTATCTATCCCAAAACATATATATTTCACATCTATCCTAGTACATAAAGGGATAATGGTGCTTCTAGCGTTGATATTACATTTATGCTATGTTATACATAAATGTCTTGCTTCTGTGTATTGTTTGTATCTGGGATATATATATAGGGATGAATAGAAAAGGCTATTTTCAGCCTGTGTCAGTTTCGTTGAATTTCATCATAACTCAATTTTATCTTGTTTCAATGCCAATCTGCAAAATTTATTTTTAAAACTGTACAATATGTGCAGAGTTTTTAAATATATTTCCCTGCAAATACACATTTTTATACATCCTATGTTAACACTTACATTTTGTATGTATTTTGGTACACTTTAAAGCTAACAACTGAATAGCTCCATTCTGATTTACTTTCTACACTGACAAGTGCAAATCAGGCCAGTACACTTAAAAATGAGAGCTGACCAAAATTCCCAAGTGTCCCTTGTTATATATAACATAAAACACATTTTCTGGAAATATATGGCTACAGAGAATCAAGTGTACTTGACCCCATTCATATGATCTTAACTGAAGCATATTTTAAGCTAGGTTAATAAATCAGAACCAGAAAGCTAAATTATTAACTATGGTTTAGTGTTACATATGAACCCTAAAGTATGGTTAACCTTAACTATGGCTTATTGAAAAATGGAAGCTTCAATAAGTAGGGTTTGAACTTGTCATGTTCCATCCTATAATAGTTAAGATAAACTACAGTTTATCAGCCTTAGACATCAAAACAAGATTAAACTAAAATGAGACATAGGAAACTGCCTTATATTGAGTGAGACTTGTCCATCTAGCACAATACTTTCAGGTCTCAGTGGCAGCTGCTCTCCATGATTTTAAACAGGATTCTTTCTTAGTTGAACCTGGAAATCCATGTATTAGTCAGGCCTGCCCATATTTACCTTATTTACCTTCTGAAATCAAATGAGATTGGATGGGTACAGGATGGTGACAAAAACTTCTGAGTGCTTTACTGTTGCTTGTCCCTTTAGAACCAAAACCATGGTTCAGCATTACATGTAATTGCAAACTTTATTTTTAAAGATGACACCAGAAGCGTACTGAACAATTTATTCTTTTGAAAATCTCCAGAAGGCCACATTTTAAATTCTGCCCCATATAGGCTTGAAGGACTGGATTTTTTCCCCACCATGAAAGATGATACAGTACAACGGATGGTGTTCTGTTATAATGGCATCAATTATGGCATCTTATTATCACACAATACATTTCCATAGAAAACCATTTTATTTCTCTTATATCTTTTATAACCATTCTGTTTTGAAAGAATGAATGTAGAAAGAAGGCATAATATAGAAAGAACATAATTCTGTTACTTAAATTCAGGGGTGGAATGCTTAAATCCAATTTAGAGGCTGAGGAAGACAGTAAACTGGTGCAGTTCTTCAGAAGGCCTGTTTTCCTTTTTGTTATCTTAAGAGTCAGTTTACAGAGAACACTATTGGCATAGCTCTTCACTCAGGGAGCCAGTTTTTTGTAGAAATAAGACAATTTGCAAAAGCAATAAAGTGACATTTTCTGAAAAAGCTTGTTAGAAAGATGAACCAACTTCAGCAAATCTCCCTGCATATGTATAGCCTGAAAGACATACTGGCAAAATAAAATAAAATAAAATAAAATGGTTCCCAGTTAAAGGGGAGAGGAACCAGAGTAAACTGGCACTGAAATCTAGAACTTAAGTGAGACTTAAAATACAGAGAGAGAGAGAGAGAGAGTCTTCCTTGCAAGCTGAAGCTCTGCTTGTTTTGAGTTCCTCAAAAATAGTAAGGAAATTGGGCAAAGAGATGTAACTTGAATATTGGAAGATACCTAGATAATACTATATTCTTCATACAAAGGGAGCAATGTGCAAGGTTCACGTGGATTGTTCTGAGAGGAAATTCTAGAACTGAATCCACTTCACCCCTCTCCCAACGTGCTTATAATTTGTAATTTGACGCTCCACAAATTCCTCCTTCATAATACAGGAGAAATAAGAGGTTGAAAACACATAACAGAATCATCTACTGTTGCATGATTCACTGTTGCATGATTCACTTAATAAAGTGAAATGAGATGTCCACAGACACATAGGCAGCATGCACATGTTGGACTGCTCAGCATGAAAATCACAACACAATTCACTGGAGGAAAAGTGGGTGTAAAATTTACAAACACAACAAAATAATAAAATAAAATTGTATTTATTGTATGTAACTGGTAAACTTTATCAGTTTTATTATATATTCTTTTTAAGAGGCTGCCTGGGAGACTCTGGGACTTGTAGTCCCACTTATTTGGAAACTACAACATTGGGAAAAGACAAGGTAACCAGAGCTGTAAACATAAAAAGGAGGAAGGAAGGAAGGAAGGAAGGAAGGAAGGAAGGAAGGAAGGAAGGAAGGAAGGGGAAGAAGGAAAAAAACAGCAATGTAGCAGCACCTTTAAGAGCTATGCACAATATTCCAAATGAGGGGGGAACACATGTTTATAAGGGTGCTTAGATTCTGGAAGCTATTCCTTTCCATCCCAAATAATCCTTAGGACAGAGCTTGCATTTTTTTCATTACCACCTCATTGTGCCATTGACCAGAACTCCATGATTCCTTCTTGGCTTGGTCACTACCCATTGGATTTTGCAATGACCATGTGGTCAAGAAGTCAAATAAAAGTGGATGAGAAGGAAGAACTGTACTTGGTTTTCTTTATCTTTTCTCCACCCCGCCACTGGTACTTTTAGGTTTGCTTTCCTGAACAAGATTTTTGTCCTCTTCCAGAATCTCTCTCCTACTCAGGTTGTCCTTACCTTTTGCAACTCCAAGGCAATAGGTTGCTGGTACAGAATTGTTTGTTTAATCTCTGTGTTAAAAGTACTCTTTATTTAAAGAGGATTATTTATTTATTAAAATAATTAACACCTCCATTTAGCTCTCCATTAATGTTCTGTTCTTTTGTTTTATACAATATTGTTTAAAGCCCATTTCTCTTCATTTCATACTACCTGCTTGTACTGTGATATAGCACCATTGTCCCTTTTATTTTGTTCTCATTACTGCAAGATTTCCCCTGAGACCTACTACCCGTCATTCCATGAAGCTGTAATCCACTGCATAGTTGTATTATGAACTTCTGCTTCCTAGTACACACTATCTGACATGGCTCCCAGCCTACTCTTTTTCATACCATTACAAATAAATTTCCACACTTTTAAAATATCACATCATACTCACTTTCCTCACAAAGTGATTAACTGTCATCTACTGCATTTTCTTACTGCTATGGCAGGGTAGGAATCAAGCAGCCCTCCACAAATTGTTGCATTGCAATTCCCAGCATCCCTCATCATTGTCTATGCTGTCTGGAAGTTGCAATGAAACATCAGCAGCATCAGGAGGATGATATGGTCCCCACCCCTTCTCTGTGAACTATAAGGTAGCACAATGATGATAATAATAATAATAATAATTTTAACCCGAAGTTAATAGGCAGCTTTGTAATCAAAGTAGCAGGACAGGCAAACTACAAGCTTGTCAGAAACTTCTGAAATAGCCATGGGAGTTCTGCACTTTAAGAAACTGCTCCTTCAGGGCTAAGGAATGTGTGGCTCTTCAGATGTTAGACTGCAACTCCCAGCATGTATCACTGCTGCCTGTGCTGTCAGAATGATGGTAGGTGACATCCAACAATATCTGGATGGCCACACATTCCCTACTCCTATTCTACATAGACCGAAAGCCAGTTTCTTCACAGTATGATTATACAGAAATGGAGCAGAATTTGGGGAGTGGAATAAAAATCTTAGTACTCAAACACGGCGGTGATAGGGGTAAACTAGAGCTATTATCTTTTAAACTCTAGGAGCTGTAGAATGCCCCTGCTCAAAACACATACTATAAGCTCTTTTGTAGTTGTTGTGTGCCTTCAAGTTGTTTCTGACTTATGGCAACCTATCATGGGGGTTTTGTGGCAAGATTTGTTCAAAGGCCTTCCCCTGAGGCTGAGAGCATGTGACTTGCCCAAGATCACCCAGTGTGGTTCATGGCTGAGCAGGGACTCAAACCCTGGTCTCCAGAGTTGCAGTCCAACACTCAAGCCACTGTGCCATGCTGGTTTGCTATAAGCTCCTTCACTATGCTCTTATTCTGGTTTTCTTGCAGCTCAAGCTTTTCCAGTGAAGTCTTGTCCTATGTTACTGTGACCACAACGTGTGTGTGTGTGTGTGTGTGTGTGTGTGTGTGCATGGTCTGCAGCCCCCACAGCCAATCAATCCTCCTTCGGCAAAAAATGAAATTGGAACATTTTAGAATAGTTTATGTCATGATTGTCCCCTCTTCTGCCTGAAAAGAGGTCAACTTGCAAGAGAGACCTGTTTATTAAATTATTATTATTATCCTTTTACATGTTTCATGTTTTCTTTTTTTTAAAAATTACAAAGCTGTCACTGTTCAAAATGAGACTTTTTTTGGCAGGCTTTGAAATTAGGATGTGATGTGGGATCAATTTTTTATGGCAGTAAAGTATAAAGGGAAAATAGGAGCAATTTTCTCTTTTGAGCATGCCCTATTTAATGGAATGAATGTCACGGTAAAGTTTTATCCTAGAAAGATGCAAGGAGAACCACAAAATGAGAATGTGGTCAAAGACTTCCACACTATATGTTCCCCTCTTTCTCCTTATCTTTTCTGTAGCCACCTAACATACCCTGCTTTCTTGTGTCCCTGCCCCCCTCATACCTCTGTGGCCCTAACATAGTCCAGCGAAATAAATAAAATGGAAGAGTCTGATCCTACTACAGCAGAATAAAAAGCAAAGGCAGCATAGAGCATCTCTCTTTAAAAACTGCAGCAAAATTATGTTGCCACCTCTTCCTGCACCTCTCCCTGCTGCCACCTATCCAAGCTAAGAAGGAACACAAAGTCTTGCTGCCATTTATTCAAACCTGGAAGTAAATTTGCCAACATCGCATCCTACTTCATTAAAATACTAACCAATATGCAAAAGAGCCACCAGGCCTCAAATGCAATTACAGACTCTCCAGGGTTTATGCTTGTATACATATGAAGCTTCTACTCTAAATGTTCAACACCCCTGCTGTGCAGAACTGGAAACTTCATTACTCAAAATATACTATTTTTTAAAAAGATTTTAAAATACTTGAGAGCAGGCTACTGTGGAAGCAATGATATCATTTTACAATTGCTGAAATCAAAACTAGTAGAATATTGTGCGTGTGTTTTTTAAAATGTACCGATATGTCTGCCCATACTTGAAATTCTAGACATTTGCAGCCTTTCATTCATTAAGCCTTGCTTTCCCTTGGATCACTTGCAAACTGTCATTTTTATTTTGGAATGGTTTGTGCAGTACCTGTCACTGCTCTCCAAGCAAGGGACCAGGGGGGTGCACTGAGACTGGACATCAAATTTTGGTGCATGGTGGGACACCCACAGACAACCTTTCCTTATCTTTCTCTCTTTCTCTGTACACATAAACACAAGGAGGGCAGATTGTGCTTTGTGTTTGTTCCACCATGGACAATGCATATCACTGTTATATCAAAGCATCCCACAAACAGCATACTGATAATCAGAGAAGTGTGGTTTTATGATTATTGTATCCCTCAGAGGTATCAGCTTGATAAAACATGGGTTTTAAAATCAAGGAGTTAATACTTCCTCGCTCCCACAGCAACTATGTGCTAAACTAAGCTAGAATGCAGGGGACCTATTCTAAAATTAGATGTGTGAGGAATGGATGCACGTGAGACATCAAGGAAAGATATGGATGAAGGCCAGAAAAGAAAGTAGGGACACACATGAGTCTGAACTAATAGGCCCAAGTGAATGAAGCTGAACAGACCTGAAGAACCAATGAAAGAGAAACAGACTGAGAAGACAAACATAGGTGTATCAATAATTCTCTCAGACATTCTGTAAAAGAGCTGAGATGGGAGACCACTAGGAAGAGGGAAAACATGGCACTGGCACCCCAATTATGGGAGACACTTCCCAGAAAGATTTGTCTAGTACCATATTTATGGGCTTTTAGGCATCAGTTAAGACCTTTTTCAGTCAGTCAAGCTTTTAAAACAACATAATAATAACTGTGGTTTAGTGTTTAATAGTTCTTGTTATTTTTGTTTTATACTGTTTTGTGAGGTGTCAAGAGAATGTCAGTTATGAGGCAGCTACAGAACTACAACTGGAAATAAATTATGTTAGTCTGCCTGAGAGACAGAATTTGCTGATGGGGAAACAAATTTCAGTGTAATAACAAGTTACATATAGTGTGTTCCATTATATAAAACTGAAATGGAATAGAAGATCTAAATATAGGTCCTGGGGAGAAGGATGAAATAGATTTTATGTGAAACCTGATAAAGACTTAATTCAAAACACAATTCAAAATAAATGAATTTAAATATAAAGCCAGGGTAGCCTAAGTAAAGAATATCACCATGGTGGAAAAGAAAGTGAAGTACTAGCAAGTTTGCTATGGGTTTGCAACTGCAAATAATATGTCCCACAACAGAATAATAAATTATGTGTTAAAGCCCTAAGCACCTGAACAGCATTAATACTTTGGAAGCAATGGGCATATCAGGTTAGAAATTTAAAGACATGGCTGTGTTAGTCTGGATCATTTTGCAAAGGAATCTTGTAGCACATTTGAGACAAATAGAGAGAAAGAAGATGGTAGCATAAGCTTAAACATATGAAAGCTTATGCTACCACCTTTTTTCAGAATCAAAAGTGTTACAACGTTCCTTTGCATAGAGAATTTGGAAATGTGGTGTTACTGTTGGGCTGAGTTTATAAAATATTCTGGAAGAATAAATAAGGCCGATAACAGATTTTTAAAAAGTCTGTTGATCCTTGAGAGGAGAAATGGGGATAGCTCTGAAATTCAATCCAGGGCAATAAGGGGAGGAAATCATACAAGATTCATCCTTTCTCCATCAAAGCCTTGTGAGAAGAGGGAGATCAGCACTGCCCTCATGGTCAGCTCCTTTAAGGATGAACATGCATCTCATTGTAAGGCATAAAACAGCATTTTCTTCCCCTTCACACCAGACCTGGAAATTGCAACAGAGGACACAGCAGCATCTGAAGGGACACTAATTGAAAGATATCCATGACACACCTATATAACTGAAACAGATCATGCTGAAATCTTACAAAATTTAGGGTGCTCTGTCCCTGATGATTACATAGAGTTTAATATTGGGCACTGTGTTCAGAATTAAGTCCCCATAAATTCTCCACTAGGAAGATAATGCTCAAGATCTCTAATATTTACTTTTATCTGGAAAAAAGTGACTTGTTTTTGAGATGAAAGTCATATATTGTGATTTTTCATCTCTCTTTCTAAACATGCTAGGTCATAAGAACGCATATTTATGGGGATGTTGAGATGATAACACTATGTGATATTATGGATCATAATCTGCATTGTAGACAAATGGAAGAATTTCCAATAGCAACTTAAAACAATAACTTAAAGAAGAGTATGAAGGAGGTTTGCTAAATGTAGATTTAGATTGGATTTAGATTTGAGTCGGTAGGCGTGTCATGACAAGAGGTGTCTCCTACCAGATCTGTTCTCATTAATCTGCTCTTCATAAAATCCCTTAGGATTCTGCATGCTATGTCTCTTCATTAAAAGTATTTAAGAGAGAAGAATGCAGAATTCATTATTATTACTACAGATGGCAAATAACAAGAGCCAATTTTGCCTAAAGGTCTAAGTCTTAGAAGTAGATCCCACAAAAACCTACTAAGAGCCATAGTACTCCTTGACAGCTTTGTTGCAACAGCCTTAACACAGCTAGTCTTCCAAAAACAAAGAGTAAGACATATTACAAGTGAACACTTCCATTGTTTCTGAGAAAACACAGGTGAATTCATGCACATTTTATTCTGTTGTGAGAGGTTTATAGCACTCTACCTCCCTCAGTGTGCACAGTATGCTTAATTTTATTTCACAGAAGTAACTGGAAATTTATGCATTGGCTCCCACAGAGCCAGTAGTTGTTAAAAAGTTGGTTTTCAGACAATGAACACATCCATGAACTGGCATATGCATTACAACACCCCATTATAGCTCTGTTACAAGCCTTCCTTGTCTGAGGGATCAAAGAAAAAGAAGAGGACACAGAATTGCAAAGGGACTGGAAACACAAACAAATTCTCTTATGAAAAAGAAAGGTATATCTTTCAAACATGGTATAGTGTATCCCATTATCAGAAGGAAAATGTGGTCATTCCTAAATATTCTTCTGTCATACTCAAGATGCAAAAGATAAAATGAAAGCTCAACAATCATCAACGATTCTATCACCTAACCCAGCAGTTTCATAGTCATTCAATCAATACACTGGATGTATTTGCATAAAATACTTCTTCAGAATTCTAGCTTCTCTCTCATGGGCAAGTATGCTTCTGTACTCTGCCTGAATGTTCCTTTTTGGGCTGCTCATAAAAACAGAAGTAGCTAAATTAACCAGAAACCTAGTATGATAGAAAAGCTTATTATTATATCCAGATGGGACTCCAGGTTTGTTATATTTCTAACAAGTCTGGGCTTGTCTAAAAGTCCAGGTTTGGTTTAAAAAATCAACCTCACCTGGACATAAGCCATGTCGCCATGTTTTTTGACGTCAACCATGAGATCAGTGATGAGGAACTAGATTAGGGCATCTCTCCTTCTTTCTCTCCCTCACCCTAATATCATGTTTGTTTTGACTCTTTGTACTCTTCCTCCACTTCAATCCTCCACCCACATGATCACTGTTGTGTCATCTTTGCTTTTATTTCAGTGAATGGACCACAGACATTCCCTGCATCCCGCTCCCAACCGTTCACTTGCTCGCTTGCTCACTTCCCCAAATCCCCTCATCATTTCCCCAGAGATCTCACACACACCCTTCTCCAAATTCCCCCCCCCCCAATCATTTGCTTCCTCACTCATGTGGAGATCTGCAATATAAGTGTGTGTGCATGGGGGGGGGAGAGGGGTAATGTGTGAGATCTCCACAAGAGCAAGCAAGTGAATGATCAGGGCAGGAGAGGGAATGTATGCATTCCATTCAATGACATAAATAGCAATAGC